AAGCCTCTACAATTAGTTATCTGCAAAAGTCAAATAATATACTTGTTATAAAGAGAGAGTGCCTATACCTAAAGAATTAAAAATATAGAATTCTTAGTTTCACCTGCATATTAGACTCTGTGATACAGTTCTGGAATTTCATACCTATTTTTCAAATTGTTCCTTTCTTTCATAAGTGAATAAAGTTGACTACTTAAGTTCAAGTTTAAAAATGTTAGAAGAGAAAATCAGGCAGGTTGGTTTTGTCCACTTCCCTTAGTGTTTTATCATATTACATAAGAAGAAAGGGAAGGCCTGGCACAGTGGCTCACACCTATTAATTCTAGCCCTCTGGGAGGCCTAGGTGGGTGGATTGCTTGAACTCAGGAGTTCCAGACCAAACTGAGCAAGAGTGAGACCCTCTTCTCTACTAAAAATGGAAAACCTAGCTGAGCAATGTGGTGGGCATCTGTAGTTCCAGCTACTTGGGAGGCTGAGGCAGAAGAATGATCTGAACCCAGTAGTTTGAGGTTGCTGTGAGCTATAATGATGCAGCAGCACTCTATCCAGGGTGACAGAGTGAGACTGTATCTCCAGAAGAAGAAGAAAGGGAAAGGTAAGTATAATACTAAAAGTTTAATGAAAAATACTTCATCCTACTCTTTTGATATATGGAACTTCTTTTTTTTTTAGAGACAGAGTCTTACTTTGTTGCCCTCAGTAGAGTGCTGTGGCATCACAGATCACAGCAACCTCTAGCTCTTGGGCTTAGGCGATTCTCTTGCCTCATCCTTCTGAGTAGCTGGGACTATAGGCGCCTGTCACAACGCCCATCTATTTTTTTGTTGTTGTTGTTGTTGCAGTTTGGCTGGGGCTAGGTTTGAACCCACCACCCTCAGTACATACAAATACATACATCAGGCGTTGCCCAATATATGGAACTTCTATGGGTCAGAGAGGGCTTAGCTGTCTGTCACAGCACTCTTCTTGCCTGTGCTTTATTTCTATGGAGTCAAAGTGCTACAAGTTGTAAATATTAGCCAAAGTGTAGAGTTCACTGTTTTGGTACTTTAGTTTCAACTTTAATTCCTTTTGAGTCCTTTTCTGTTTGTCTTGAAAATATATCCCTTTAGAAAATCAACCTTTATCAAAGCTAAGTTTGTTTTTTTTTTTTT